AGAACAAGATACTGTTGGTAATGATGCTGACAGCCATTCCTTACATTTCTCTTCCTCTTAGATACATGACCATGGTAAAGAGTTGGACCTTTTCAACTTCTGTATTTGAAAACTAAGTTGATAGTGATGATGTATTTTCATTCAAGCAATGCCACAAATCCAAGCTTTGCACATTGCTTAAACCTATGTTCTGAGTATTTTCTTTTTTCTTTTCTTTTTTATAATATATTTTATTGATTTTTCACAGAGAGGAAGGGAGAGAGATAGATAGCTGGAAACATCGATGAGAGAGAAACATCGACCAGCTGCCTCCTGCACACCCCCTACTGTGGATGTGCCTCAACAAATGTACATGCCCTTGACCTGAATCGAACCTGGGACCTTTCAGTCTGCAGACCGACGCTCTATCCACTGAGCCAAACCGGTTTCAGCTGTTCTGAGTATTTTCAAGAGACAAATGTATTTAAAGATGATTTCTCCACTCATATTTTAAATTTCTAATACCTTTATACCTTTATTATTATTTAAATTATCTAGCCAACAAAAATCTCTCCTAATAGTCTACTCACTGATTTTTCTATTAAGTCATTTGAAATTTCTTAGTTATTATTCTTGAAAGTAAGTGTCCAGCCAATTATTTTTTTTACCAGAGGCCTGGCTCATGAAAATTCATGCACTGGAGGGGGGTCCTTCAGCCCGGCCTGCCTCCTTCATAGTCTGGGAGCCCTCAGGGGCAGGAGGCAATCAGGGGAAGGCGACACTTCTATCACACCTCTACTGCTGCCACTACCAGCAGTGCAAACCTCAGGTGGCCCTGGGTGGTTGGGCAGCTGCCATCGGCGGCTTGCCTGTGCCTCGGGCTGGCCCTGGGCGGCTGGGCAGCCACCATCCGAGTCTTGCCTGCACCTTAGGCTGGACCTGGGTGGCTGGAAGATTGAGAGGATTGGGGGACTCTGGAGGCAGGCGTGAGGAGCAGCCAGAACCACACGCCTGCCGCCCTGGTGGGGCTGAAGGGACTGGGCCTCACCATCTTGTGGCTATGGGCACCACCATCTTTGAGGGCATTGCAGTCAATTAGCATATTCCCTCCTTATTGGCTCTGGGCACCGCCATCCTTTGTGAGGGTGTGACAGTCAATTCGCATATTCCCTATTAGATAAGATTTTAGCAATAATAAATCTAAATGTATATTTATACTACTGATAGAATTTCCACATATAAAGGATTTAAGGAGGGGTTTTTTCCCCCCTCCAGCTACATGTAGAATGTTCACCTACATTCAAAAGTTAATATCCACACACTAACAACAAATCCCAATGACAGGCCTAATTCATATTACTGACATTGATAATCTGATTAGAAACAATGATTACTTATGTGATTCCACAGTCACTGATCACATTCAAGTTCAAAGGGGTCAGAACTGATGTTGAAGTAGGGCTTCTGAAGGCTGAGACCAAAAGCAAAGCCAAATGGCACATTTGGGCCAAACAAAAGGATGAAGTTGATGATGCCCCGAAACTAGTTAAAAGTCCTACAGCAGAGAGAGGGAAGAGATTAGCATTCTGGGTAATTCTCAGGACAGGAAAGAGGCACCCTTTACTCTCAACTGATCCAAAGAAAACCACCATTTGTCACCCCACTTCCCATGGAATTTCTTGCTGACAGAGAAATGGAAAAAAAAAGAAGAGAAAAAAAAACAGAAAAAGGGAAGCAACCGAAGAAAGTGACAGGATGCTACCCTCCATAAATACTTCCTGTTGATTGTGCTTACAACTGCAAGCCACCCATCTCATGCCTATCTGCAGAGCTCAAGTCACACATGCCTAACTCTCGAGAGTTAAGAAACTACTCCAATGCACAGTGTTTGCCAATTTTTCAGGGGCTACACTTAAGGACAGAAAAGAACTGGGAAAAATCCCAAGACAGTGCTTTGAGATTTGCTTGCATGAACTTAGAAGTTCTTTGAATCTGCAGCCAAACAATGGAAATTTAAAATACTATCATCAAATACAAACACTGAGAGGCGAGGATTTCGTGGAGCTGGACGAGGCCTTCGGTGAGCCAGGCATTCAGGTTCGTGGTCTCTTAGTGGGCTAGGTATGTTGGTAGCGAGTAGATCTGGTTCCGAAAGGGTGGAGCCATTATGGGGTGGAGCCTGACACAGAAATATTAGTCTGCTCCATTTTGCCTGGTTAGCATGGGGCATCGCACTCTATCCTCTGCCCTGGTCCTGTGGGCCTCCATCCCCTGTCCACGCTCTGAGCTGCGCCTGGACTTGGTTCTAACTTCTGGACAATCCTTCCGGTGGAAGGAGCAAAACCCTGTGCATTGGAGTGGCGTGCTGGCAGACCAGGTATGGACATTGCCCAGACCGAGGAGCAGCTCTACTGCACTGTGTACCGAGGAGAAAAGGGCCAGACTGGCAAGCCCACACCAGAAGAGCTAAGGGCCCTGCGCCAGTACTTCCAGCTGGATGTCAGCCTGGCTCAATTATATCGCCACTGGAGTTCCAAGGACCCCCACTTCCAAAAAGTAGCTCAGAAATTCCAAGGTATTCAACTCCTACAACAGGATCCAATCGAGTGCCTTTTCTCCTTCATCTGTTGCTCCAACAACAACATTGTTCGCATCACTGGCATGGTGGAGTGGCTCTGCCAAGCCTTCAGACCTCGGCTCATCCAGCTTGATGATGTCCAGAGGTGGAGACTAAGCTCAGGAAGCTGGGCCTTGGGTACTGTGCCTGCTATGTGAATGCCAGTGCCAGAGCCATCCTTGAACAGGGGGGTTGCCCTGGCTGCAGCAGCTGTAGTAGTGTGTAAAGCAGCAGGTGGCTGGCGAGGAGCCCGAGCCCAGGCCAGGCACACTCTGGCTCATCCCGCCCCTCTGCGCCTGCTGCCATGGTGTGCTTGGTAGTATTGCTGTGGAGGCGGGAGAGGCTTGTGCTGCCACAGCTGTGCTTGCCAGCTGTGAGCCCATCAGTCAACAGCGGCACTCCCACTATGAGAGTATTGAGGCAGTTCCTGTGTTGAGCGTCTGCTCCCTGGTGGTCAGTGCACATCATAGCAACCGGTTGACTGGTCATTGGGTTGTTCAGTTAGTTGCTTAGGCTTTTATATATATAGATGATGTCATACTGGACATTCACAACAACACCTATCCCCATTCTTTAGATAAAAAGACAGGCTCCCAGAAAGCAAATAGCTTATCTAAGGATGCACAACTGGGAAATAATATTATATATCCACACACATCCTAGCATACACAGTGTCCACTCCTGAATACTGTTGGTTTTCAGTAACATCAGACACACATTCTCTAAAGGTCAAACTCAAAACTCCTCCATCATCTCTTGTATTCCTGGCTTTCCCCCCCATATCCATCTTCTATTCTCTGTTGCCTATCAAAGGATCTGGCCTTTGAGGTCTTTTTACATCCTAGAGATCAAATGGCAAATGTGCTGGGATTTCAAGACACAATTACAAAAATAGGTCTAGTTTAGGGGTATCGAACTCAATCAGAGAAGGGGCCAAAATCTAAAATCCAGCCTAAATCGCGGGCCGAATGGTTTACTGAACAGTCATAAACTGTCATTGTGATGGAAACGCAGCGGAGTCCAGTGATGACAGCGCGGTGTGGGCCACATTGCAAGGCCTGGCGGGACGGATTTGGCCCGTGGGCCTTGTGTTTGACACATGTGGTCTAGTTCATCTGCAAGAATATCATACACCCCACTTTCTCCACTTCTATAACCTGTAATTCATCCCACCCCACTGAGTAGGAGAAAATATTTGAAGATCATATGTCATATAAAAAATTGTATCTAAAACTTATAAGGAATCTTTACAACTTAAGAGACAACCTAATTAAAAATGTGCAAAGGAGATTAACAGAAATTTCTATAAAGATATATAGAATGGCCAATATGCACATGAAAAGCCCAATATCATTAATCATCATGAACATGCAAACCAAACACATATATAAATTTACATATATGCATATTTAATTAAGTACAGGTAGCTTATATTCCATGTTAATTTCTTTCGGGGCTACTAAAGGGATATTAGAAAATATTTCCTTTAAAAGGGACATTGGTCTGATGGGTTTGAGACCCACTGATGCAGCAGATAGCACAGAAGATATCTGTGATCAGAATATGGCTTTTTAGATAAGGGTCAGGTTTGTTTGTTTTTTTTTTCCTGTTCTATAACAGCTTCAGCCTGAAGGATTCCATGGGAAAAGCAACAACAAAATTAGAAAATAATTTATCATTATTCAATTTTGCTACCAACTCGTTCTTCATTTAGAAGATGAGCTGTTTCTGGAGGGATATGTAATTATACATTTGGACTACATGTACTAGTATCTGTTAGTTATACAATGACATATTTCACAAGATCTGTCTGTGCCAGACAAGTTGAGTCTTACATCTCTCAATGCCTGAACTTTTGATGTAAACAATTTTTTCATTGAAGATAACTCCGAACAAAGGATATTGCTTCATCTGACTGGCCTTTTGTGGCTCAAGGCCATTGTGACAAACATCATTCTTACCATGCTCTAACCAAAGGACACCCTAAGGCACACCGACGTTGGCCACTGCTGGCCTCACAACTAAATGGTCCCGGACTGACGAGCTTTTTGGAGTTCTCGGCTCTGCTTTTTATAGGAACATATTTCTCTTTATGGGCTATTATTTCTGATCTTAATACTGGTGTCCTTAGGCAGTGCCTCCTACCTCTTTCTAACTTGCTTCCTTAATACAAACAGTTAACACCCACATTACTGGTGACAGTCTATCTTCATTTCTTGGAACCTAGCACCGTAACCAAAGTATTTTCAATGCCAACTTTCAGAAGCATACCAGCTCAAGGGGGAAAAAAGAGTACATCTATTACAAGGTCATGAGGGTATCTTAAGGGCAAAGGTGAACCAAGGGGGCAGAACCAGGAAGTAGAAACTCAGCAAAAACCAAAGAGGCATTTTCTTACTCTCACCTCTGTGTTCCCTGGCCCATCTGTGTCATTCTTTGATCCTGCAGGCTCCCCTCCTTGGCTTCTCTCCCAAGATGACTCTGCCATGGCCTTGGCCAGGTAGCTCAGTTGGTCAGAGCATCATCCTGATATACCAAGGTTCTGGGTTCAATCCCTGGTCAGGGCACCTGCAAGAAACAACCAATGAATGCATAAATAAGTGAAATAGAAAATTGATGTATCTCTCTCTCTCTTCCTCTCTCTTTAAAATCAACATATTTTTTAAAAATAGATGACTCTGCCGCGACTCCTGAGGTTACTCAATTCAATTTTAGTCACTTGCAAAGAACAAAGTGCTGCCTCTCTCCCAGTGCAACCCTTCCAAGGGAGACCATCAGATTGACCCTGTTTGGGTCAGGTTACTCCTGTGGTTCAATTAATAAAGTCACAACATAAAAACGGGTGCTGGGGCCATCTCTGTGAGGAAGTGCAGTTTTTAGAGAACACTGTCATGAGTTAACTGGTTTCACATGCAACCAAGGACACCAGATAAGCCAGACTTAGGACTTAATCTAAGATAAAAATACACTCTGTGTGAGGGCCTGAGGTTTTCCCCTATGAAGAAAGAACATGAGGTTTGACCCATTATTATTTACTTTTCCCCCCCTGATAACCTGGAAACCACTAATCTGCTTTCTGTCTCTGTGATTTACCTATTTTGGATGTTTCAAATAGTAAACAGAATTTATACATTACTAAAGGCCCGATGAACGAGTTCATGCTCCAGTGGGGTCCCTCGGCTTGGCCTGCGGAATCAGGCCAAAACCAGCTCTCCTACATCCACTAAAGGGTCCCAGATTGCAAGAGGATGCAGGCCAGGCAGAAGGACCCCATTGGTGCACAATCAGGGCCAGGGAGGGATGCGGGAAATTGGCCAGTTAGGGAGGGACTGCTGGAGGGGTCCAGGGCATGTGCAGCCCATCTTGCTCAATCCTGATTGGTGGGACCCCAGCAGCAAGCTAACCTACCAGTTGGAGCACCTGCCCCCTGGTGGTCAGTGCATGACATAGCAAACAGTTGAGCAGCCTTAGAATATTATTGGTATATTACACTTTGATTGGTTGAACAGATGACTAGACAACTGGATACTTAGCATATTAGGCTTTGATTATATAGGACCTTTTAGCCCGGCTGGCATGGTTCAGTGGTTGGGTGTCCACCAATGGGCCAGGAGATCATGTTTGATTCCCAATCAGGGCATGCACCTGGGTTGTGGGCTCGATATCCAGTGCAGAGCATGCAGGAGGCAGACAATTAATTATTCTCTATCATCACTGATGTTTCTATCTCTCTCTCCTTCTTCATTCCTCTCTGAAATCAATAAAAATAAAAATAAAAAGTGACCTTTTGTGTCTGGCTTCTTTCACTCAGCATAATGTTTTCAGGGTTCATGTGTTGTAGCATGTATCAACATGATACATATATTTTTATATACCATATCTTTTTATGACTAAATATTCCATTGTATGGCTGTACCACATTTTACTTATCCATTCATCAGTTGACAGGAATTTAGGTTACTTCCACTTGTTACCTATTAGAAATAATGCTTCCATGAACATTCATGTACAAATTTTTGCATGAACATATCTTTTCAATTCTCTTGGAGACACTATACACACACACACACACACACATATATAAAAGATATATATGACATATATGCATGTATATGATATATATACATATATGAAATATATACATAAGATATGTAGTATGTGTATGATATATATACATGTATACATATATACATATATAATAGAGGCCTGGTGCATGAATTTTGTGCACTCCGGGGGGGGGGGTGTCTCCCCGAATGCTTGTATCCTCTACAATCTGGGACCCCTCAGGAGATGTTCAATTGCCCTCTCCTGCAGACCTGGTCCCCTCTTCCCCCCCCCCCCCCCCCCCCGCAACTGCCCTCCCCTGCAGGCCTGGTTGCCCCTGCCTTCCCCTGCTGGCCTTGTCACTTCTAACTCCCCTCTTCTGCAGGCCTGCCTGGTCACTCCCCCGACTGCCCTCTTCTAGAGGCCTGGTTGCCTCCAATTGTTCTCCCCTGCTACCCCAGTCACCCCTAAACGCCCTCTCCTGCTGGCCATCTTGTGGCAGCCATCTTTGACCACATAGGGGCAGCCATTTTTGACTACTTGGGGGTGGCCATCTTGTGTGAGGGCATGAGGGCAATTTGCATATATATATGGTGTGTGTGTGTGTAAAATTGCTAGGCCTTATGGTAATTCTGTTTAACACTTTGAAAAATTGTCAAACTATTTTCTAAAGTGCCTGTACCATTTTACTTCCCCACCAGCAATGTGAGGCTTCCAATTTCTCTACAACCTTGCCATGTTTTTAAAAATATGTATTTTTATTGATTTCACAGAGGAAGGGAGAGATAGAAACATCAATGATGAAAGAATTATTGATTGGCTGCCTCCTGCAAGTCCTACACTGGGGATTAAGCCTGCAACTTCGGTATGTGCCCTGACTAGGAATCCAACTGTGACCTCTTGGTTGATAGGTCAAGGCTCAACCACTGAGCCATGCATGCCACCTGGGTGACCCTTGCCATCTTTTTAATTGCTTGTTTTGATTTATAGCTAAGCCAGTGGGCTGAAGTATGTCAATGTCCTTTTGCTTTGCATTTCTCTAGTGACTAGAGATATTGAAAATGTCACATATCCTTATTAAGCATTTGTGTACCTTCTCTGAGGAAGTGTCTACTCAAATCATTTGACCATTTTTCTCACCTGGCTCAGGCTGCTTCCTCCCCCGTGTCCTGCAACTAAGGAAGCATCTGAACTGGTTTAGGATGTGGCCTGGCTTCAGCTCCAGGAGGGACACTTTCCAGGGTGCAGGGCTCCAGGTAAGGGCTCCTAGGGCACTTGGCCCGGCGTTTGGGTCACCCCCGCCCTGCCCCCAGAGTTTGAGAAGGCAGCACTGCCCCTAACCCTCCATTACGGCCTTTGGTTTGAGGGGGCAAAGAGGGCTGCTCTCCCATCTACACCGTCCCGCGGGCCCCGCCCCCGCCGCCTAGATCCCCCTCAGGGGGTTGCTCATTACCCCTCCTCACTCCACCTAGGCTCCCTAGGCCCATTACCCCTCCTCACTCTCCTCGAAGGCTCCATCCCCCTAAGAAGGCCACTGCTTCTCCTCAGCCCTCCTGAGGGGTCACTCAAAGCCCCTCCCTCCGTCCCCCTGAGGGGGCAGGTCGCTCGTCCTCACGGGTCCTCTCGTGAGGGTCTCTGTCCGCCACACCCCCCGACTCCCCAGCCTCCAGAGGCGTCTCCCGCACCCGACGGGAGGTCCCACCTACCGCCCGGCCTGTCCCCCAAGGGCCCGCACCGCCTCCTTCAGAGCCCTCCCCCGCGTGACGTCGTCGCCGGACGGGACGCTGGGGCGAAGCTCCCGGCGAGGCTCCAGGTGGGGAGGGGGCGGGGGCTCCAGGTGGGAAGGGGGCGGGGATAAAGGCGGAAGAGGGCGTGTCTCTTGATAGGAGGGGCGGAGCTTCTGGCGGGGGGGGCTCCAGGCAGAAGTGGGCGTGTCTCCTGATAGGAGGGGCGGGGCTCCTGGCGGGAGGGGGCGGGCTCCGGGCCCGGAGGCCTGCGTGCGCTCCGCGGGGTCCCTATTGCGCAGCCCTGCGGCGAGTCGGGCGGCCATGGCGGGCTGCTGCTCCTGGCTGAGGGGCTTCCTGTTCGAGTACGACACGCCGCGCATCGTGCTCATCCGCAGCCGTAAAGTGGGGCTCATGAACCGGGCAGTGCAGCTGTTCATCCTGGCCTACGTCATCGGGTGAGCGCGGCCGGGGCGGCGACCCCATGGGGTCCTGGGACCCGGGGGACCCAGCGGCCAGGGGGCTGCTCCCTCCGGGTCACCGCTGTGCACCTGCTCATCCTGGTGAGCCCTGTGGGGCGCCCTCCAGGTGAGGTCCGGAAGGCAGCGAGCCCTCCCCCAACCCCCCAGGCTGGTGACACACCCCTCCGGGGACCCCAGCCACCGGGGGATGGGCGCTGTGCCAGGCTCTGAGGCAGAAGACTGCTTGGATGTGGTGTGTTAGGGGCAAACCCTGGCCAGACCTTCATTCTCGCCTTTCCTGCTTCCTGTCATTCTGATTGGCTCCGGGAAGGAGGGGGAGCGCGCTTCCCTAAATTTCTCAATCTTTGTCACTTCCCATTCTGATGATCTAACAGAAACCTTGGTTTGGGATTAACCCTTGTTTCCTTTTGGGTCTGTGATTTCCGGTCCTGTCCTTTAACACCATGTGGTAATCCAAGATAGTAGAGGTCACACTTCCAGTTTGCTTCCTTCCTCTTATGGGGTGGTTGGGAATAGGTACCTGCCTGCCTCAGCCTCATCACTCCCCATGCTGTCCTCTTTGCATAGATATGCCCAGCCATCATCCTTCCTCACCAAGTGTTTAATTTTAATAGAATGCACCTCCTTACAATCTAATAGAACTGGAGAGAGGAGGCGGGAATTAACTTACCAACTGGGCCCGCTTTCAAGGGCCACCTGGGATGTTATGGTTGCATAGCTACTGAGCTGACAGATGTTATCTGCTTTGTCATTTCTTTACTTAAAAGGCCTAATGCAACAGTCCCCAAACTACACAAACCACCATTTGGGAATCATTAAAAAAAAAAAAAATACTAATTGCTGGCTGCCATCCCCAGACTTTCTGATTCCATTGCTCGAAAGTAAGACCAGCTCCCTAGGTGATTCTGCTGAGCAGCAAAGTTTGGGAACTAGTGTCCCAGTGTTTCCCGGATCTACCTGACCGTGAAAAGACGTACCCTGAGGAACTGCTCAGCGTCACCTGGGGTGGGGCTTGGAATCTGTTAACACTGCCCAGGGAATTCACATGATCAGACAGGTTCTGCCAGCCCTGCAGCCGTAGGTACTGACAGTACTCAATAAAATGGCTTTCCAGGTGTGGACTCCGCTCCAGAACCACCTAGCGGCCAGGTGGTCGGCAAACTCATCAGTCAACGGAGCCAAATATCAACAGTACAACGATTGAAATGTCTTCTGAGAGCCATTTTTTTTTTTTTTTAATTCTTAAACTTCTTCTAACGCCACTTTTTCAAAATAGACTCGCCCAGGCCGTGGTATTCTGTGAAAGGACCCACACTTAAGGGGCCAAAGAGCCGCATGTGGCTCACGAGCCGCAGTTTGCTGACCTCGGACCTAGCCTATCCCCAGGTTTTGGACTCAAGCAGGTCTCATTCAGTTCCACCGTGAACTCGGTCATTGTGATGCAGCCATTGTGATGCCCATACAGCTGGCTACCAGGAGTGACTTGCTGGGTAGGATGTGAAGCACTGGGAATTGAGCTCTCTCTCATGCAGCTTTTCCCTCTTAGCTCCTGAAGCTCCTGGGAAGACCGGCTTACATCTGCCTTAGGGGATCTGTGAAGTTCTAGACTGCAGATAGGGTAGTAGCGTCCCCTCCCCCTTCTCCACAATTTCCCTTTCCACGGTTTTAGTTACCAAAACCTGAAACTGTTACGTGGGAAATTCCAGGGGAAAAAGAAGGGGAAAAAAGCTCATAAGTTTTAAATTGCACACCATTCTGAGTAGCATGATGAAATTTCGAGGCATCCTGCTCCATCCCACTCGAGACATGTTCATCTCTTTGTCCAGCGTTTCCATACTGTGTACAGTCCCTTCCTGTTAGTCACTTTCCAGGTCAGTTATCAGAGAGTGACCACCTTCACATAACTCTGATCACAGTATATTGTTATAATTGTTCTATTTTATTATTAGTTACTAGAGGTCTGGTGCACAACATGCGTGCACTGGAGGGGGAGTCCCTCAGCCCAACCTGTGCCCTCTCACAGTTCAGGATCCCTGGGTGTACCTTCTTGTAGGGGTCCTTAGCACTGCCATGGTAAGCCTGGCTGTGTGCCAGGCTTCTAGCTGAGCGGTGCTCCCCCTGTGGGAGCACACTGACCACCAGGGGACAGCTCCTGCATTGAGCATCTGCCCCCTGGTGGTCCGTGTGCATCATAGTGACTGGTCATCCCGCTGTTCGGTTGATTTGCATGTTAACCTTTTATTATATAGGATTGTTAATTTCTTTATCTAATTTATGTTAGATTTTATCATTGGTATGTATGTATAGGGAAGAACACCATATAGGAAACTACCCCCAGTTTCAGGCATTCCCAGTGGATAAGGGAGAATACGGTATCTGTGCCTGCACTATAGGATATGGTAGGCTCTAGTCACATGTGGCTCTTGAGCATTTGAAATGTTCCCACTCCAAATTAAGATGTGCCATCTCTGTAAAATACACCAGATTTCGACATAATAGAAACAAAAAACAAAAAGCACAGTAAAATATCACACTGATACTACATCCTATATTGATAACATGTTAAAATATATTGGTTTCATTACCTATATTGATAACATGTTAAAATATATTGGTTTCATTAAAATTAATTTCATCTCTTTTTAGCATGGTTACTAGAATTTTAAAAATTACATTATGTGGCTACTGCTATATTTCTTTTGGGCAGCACAGTTTCTTAAGATTCTTATGAAGTGTTTGCTACCTTGATTATGAGGATTTTTTAAAGCAATAAGTGCTTTGCTTTTATCCATCTTGCCATGATCAAAACTGACTCAGGGTCTAAATTGAAGGCTTAAAAATAAAAGCAAAAACAACTCATCTCTTAACTTCCTGATCCAATTCATCTTGTTGAAATTGTGACGAGTGACCCATAGCAATCCATCTTCAAAAAGAATTTCATTTCTCAGTTACCCAGTTCTGTCATCAGTCACATGATGATGAAACAGTTAAATCACATGCTGATGTGAAATCACGTGTCTCTTTAGCAATTCATTGCACAGATGGTAAAATTATCGTGACCTTCCGGCCCTAGGCTTCAGTATATCCGACTAGAGTTAAATGGAAGCTTAGGCAGTTGAATTCCTAGAAACCCTGAAGAACAGGGTTTGTAAGGGGAAACGCCCATATCTCGATGGGAAATGAATTTGGAGACTGCTCAGATCAGATAAACGCATAATAAGTAACTAAAACCAGTGAATTTCTGAAGTTCCAGCCACTTATATGGAGGAGAGAGGGATGTTAGCATTTCTTGATTCCAGGAAAAAAAATAACCATAATATTCACTGGAAAGTGTGTAACAATAGCTCAGATTTGTAGAATTGCCCGATTTCCATGGTGTAGATACTTCCATCATGCCAATTTCATCCTATTGATGGCGACTCCCAAACTTTGTCCTAAGCATTTGACATGCATTAACTTCTAAAACCTCACAACAACCATTTTGGGAAGTTCTGTTATCATTCCCATTTTATAGATGGAAAAACGGAGGCACAGAGAAGTTAAGCTACTTATACAAGGTCTGCCTTATCGAGGGATGGAGCTGAGGCATGAACCAGAGATCAGCTGGCTCCCATCCGTTTTCCAGTGCCCTAACCACTATGTGCTGATGCCTTTACATTTTTAATTATTCAGACTGACATTAATGTCCCCTCTTCAGAGGAAAGGAGCATACCTGTGACTTGAATTCTTGGAGAGAAAAAAATAAAAAATACTATAAAAAGCTATTTGCATGGTATATCTTTTCTAGAAGGCAAGAGAAGAGTCCTCAGAGGTAGAAGGCTTGAGGTTAGATCCTGATTATGCCACTTGCCAGCTGTGTGACTTTGGGCAGATGACTTAACCTCTCTGTGTCTGTTTCTTTCTCTATAAAATGGAGATAATGATGATACTTGACTCACACAGTGGTCAGGATTAGTTAATAGAATACATACAAGGAGCTTAGACCGGTGCCTAGCACCTAAAAACACCCAAAATGGTAACTGTTATTACCAGAAATCTTACCTCTTGGTGATTCTGCAGGTCATAGTGCATTTGAAAGTGCTCAGCCCTCGCTGGTTTAGCTCAGCGGATAGAGCGTCAGCCTGTGGACTGAAGGGTCCTGGGTTCAATTCCGGTCAAGGGCACATGCCCGGGTTGCAGGCTTGAACCCCAGTAGTGGACATGCAGGAGGCAGCTGATCAATGATTCTCATCATTAATGTTTCTCTCTCTCCCTCTTCCTTCTTCTCTGAAATCAATTTTAAAAAAAATTAGTTTTCAAGTGCTCAAATGTCCAATAAGAGGGACAGCATTAACTGATCGTTTTCTCTCTGCTGATCACTGTGCTAAGTGCTTTACCCGCATCAGCTTATGAATTTCCCACAAATCACCTGTGGTTTAGGTGTTACTGTGCCTATTTTGCAGAAGTGGAAATGGAGGGCCCCTCTCTCCACCCCCTCACAAAATTAATCGGCTTTTGTAAAGCCACATAATTAGTGAACGTGTTTTTTCCAGCTTCTGGCTAGCAGAGGCTCCCTGGCATCAGTGCAGATTCACCAAGCCCTAATGGCAACTCAAGAGG